TATTAATATAATTTTTTATACAAATATAATTAATTATTTTGTTAGAACTCGATAATCATCCTAATTATATTTTATATATTTTATATTTTAAAATAAGATGTTTATCCTCTATTTGATTATGTTTATCCACAGTTAATTACATAAATTCAAACATGGATGTCTAATAAGTTGTACTTACGCACAATTTACTTGTAATCTTGAATTTTAAGTAATATGCATCAATAAACAGTACTTTATGCATAAAAAATGATTTTTAAGAGTTTTTGTCAAATACTTTATAATATAGTATAGATATATGGGTCCATTCAAAGAAGAACTGATTAGTTTGTGGTAATCGTGAGATTCAATGTGAACCACTTGTTTGAGATATTTAAGATATTTCTTAAATAAACTAAAAAGATAATATAGTAATTCTATTTTTGATAACTAATCAAAATATTTAATTAAATTTGTTAGAAGAAAATATTTAATTAAAATTAGTTACCTAGTATATCAATTACCTAGTATACATCATATTTTAAAGACGTTTGTGAATCAAAGTGCATCATAATGATAACGTTCACAATGTTTTACGTGTATCATAATGTATTTTCTTTGTTTTATGAAATGTATCAAAGTGCGAATTTTTGTGTATCACAATGTATTCTTTTATATTATGTTTGCATTTGGATGTTCTATTGGACAATCACCACTGCATTCATCCTTAAAATATTCCTCGCCATCTCCGTTGCCATCTTCTACTTTGTTTTTCGTCCAGAATCGTTGAAACATTAGATCGATAACATCTCTGTAGGAGGCATCAACCTGACTCCATCAGCACCGTATTCCCTTCGTTTGACCGTCGCTGGAGAATGATTCCTTAGTGAAAATTAACAAAGTTCACCGTCGTCGTCGTTAGAACATTCGGCGGGCAAATCATTAATTGTGAAGTAGATTGAGGTGGTGGTATCGTCAAAGACGTTTCAATCTTTTTGGAGGCTCTGCTACATTCAAAACTTTTGATTACATTGCACAAATGAGATAACAAAGAATATATGTTAAAACAAAAATGGGTTAAACCTAAAACGATTAACAATCTAAAACTAAACCTAATAATCATTTGAACCTAAAACCAAACAATAATTGTTTGAATCTAAATAATTTCGACTATAATTTTATACAAGTCGAAAAAAAAAACCCTAAATACATATAAATTTATGCCCCAAAATTTCGGAGGCCCTATTCAAAATCTCACATTTAACATGCAAAGGGACGACCCTGGATATCATTGGTGGGCATCTAGTAAGATGATTGTGAAGGCAGAGAGCTAATTATTAAATAAACTAAAATTTTAAATTATCCAAAACGGATATTTTTGTCAATCGTCATCATTTTATTTTATTTTTAAAGCTACATTTTATGAACTAAATTAATAAATTACATCTTTAACAGATTTTATTTCAATTATATTAACCAAACAAATGATTAAACTTAAAAATATTTTATTTCAATCATTTAAAAATCAAATTAATTTAACAGATTTCATTTCATTTAAAAACAATTTTTTTAAACGAAACACCACCTAATAATTGACAATTGTCTTAAATATTAGGTTTCACCAATAAAAGGGAATGCGACTCTCAAGTATTTGATTTTGTGGACAAGATGTCACCACGATAAAATCCGCATATTCCATCATTGGACATTAATATAATATTTATATGTATACATTTTCTTATTTGATGATTACAAATTATAAATAATATACACTAAATTATTGTATCGTTTTTAACGATTCTGTACGATTGTTCATATAATTATAAGTGAACAACGTACATAAACAATGTTATTTAACGCTTTTTCAGTAATAACTAATATTATAATCTCTACAAATCGGAGAATTATGTTGGCCATTATATTATTCTAAACACGTTTTAAGCTACATACGTTGCTTAATAAAAAGACCGAGTGTAATTTAATAGTTCATAATTCTTCAATGGTGATTTCTACACCATCTTCTGGTTTCGGATGTGAGAGATACTTCATTTTTGCATCCGGATTCACCAATTCCCACCTAAATCCATTCCGGAATATGACGAGAAAAAGTTAATACCAATTTTTACTTTCTTAGAACGGAAAATATTCTAGTACTATTTTAATAAATTTGAATGATTACGTACTTGTATCCCGTTGACAAATGATGGAGAAAGACGGCAAGTTGTAAACGAGCAAGCATATTCCCTACACAAATTCTCGATCCACCACCAAACACTTGGTACGTTCCAGACGTCATCGATGCCTTAGAACACAATCCGATTTATAGTAATTGTTATTAGGAAAAAAGCGAAGAAAAATTCCAAAACAAAGATTATGCATAGATTCTCGTCAAGAGACTTACATCCCATCTGTCAGGGTTGAAACTCAGTGGATCGTTAAAGTTTTCTGGATCCGTGTGAAGATACCTGATCCATAGCATTACGTTCCATCCTTTTGGTATAGTATATCCTACACGATCGATAACATATACATTTTAACGACTAGGAGCAAAAACATAAACCAACTAAACAAAATAAAACTTGATCACGCACCTTTATATTGAACATCTTTTGTCGTCGTGCGGAACACGATTGCAGCGATATTCGCCAATCTAATCGTTTCATCGACAACCTTCATGGTGTATTTCATCTTTAACATCTCGTCGCTTGTAACAAGTTGTTCGGTTTTGCTCTTTTTAAGAGACACGTTTTCCTCCTATATCAAATACCGATGATCATGATCAATATACGAGAACAAACAAACACTCCAAAATTATATAGGGGTAGATGAAGGCATACCCGAAGCTTTTGTAGAACCTTTGGGTATTTCGCAAGATAATAAACTGCCCACATCGTAGCAAGAGTTGTTGATTCGTAGCCAGCGACAAGAATGCTAACGATATTATCAAGAACCTCGTTTTCTCTTAACTGGCTCCCTTCTTCGTCCTTCAACTTCATCAAACCATCCATTAGATCGTTCATAGGTCGAGTACTTCCATCGTCGTTGTTGTTCCTTTTCTCCAACTCTTCCTTGAAAATCGCTATCGTTTTCTTCCGGCACTAGCAAAATAAGTTTTCACAAAAATTATAAGGAGCAATGCAAAGAGACAAAGGGGATTCCAAATGTATATAAACGAGAAAGAGTTCGAGTCCAGCCGATGTGGGAATTCAATATCTCCTTAAAACAAACAGTGTGCTCTAGAAACTACAATGAAATTGAGTTTATATGACGCCTAAAATTCTAAAAGTGGGTTCTTTTTTAGACCAAACTATTAAGTCACATATCTAAAAGGGTTGCAATAGGTTTGTAGGATGATTTTGGACGTTTTAACAAGTTTTTTAGAATGTTTTTAAAATAAAGTGTCGTATTATCTATTTTATAAGACATTTTTTCATAGAGTGTTCTATAAAATAATTAATACGACACTTAGATTTAAAAGCATCTTAAAAAACTTGTTAAAATGCTATAAAACGTCTTATAAACCTATTGTAACACTTTTAGATATCACACTATTTTGTATGGCCCTATAAACTTAAGTCTTATTTTAGACGTTGTATAAGCCTAATGCTTTAATGTTGTTGTGCTAAGAGTGTTGAATCCCCGGATAGATAGATTTTGGCTCTGATATCATACGATGATATGTGGAACCTTTTTGAATATCACTCCAAAAAAGACATAACGGAGGTTCCAAAAAAAATATATATATATATATATATATACATAAAAAATGGTTCGAGTCTAGCATATGTTCAGAGGGATGAGAATAAAAACCTGAAGGGCATGGTAATAAGCAAATCCTGGTATATTCAACGGGTAACTCCGGATTCCGCTAACCAATCCGGTGAAGTACTTGTCGAGTGTATCGAGAGTGGGACCTGGCTCGAAACTAGCAAAATACATGCCAATGTTCTCGAATGTAACCTTGTTGATCTCGTTATAGGAAATAATCTTACGACGTTCAACCCAAGATCGCAGGGCAGAGATAATTCGAGGTTGCACAACGATAGCAATCCGACGAAGAGCATCTGGCTGGTTAATACTTCTCGAAACAAAGCTTCTGATCCTAACATGCGCTTTGCCATGAACCGCAACCAGTGAAGTCTTGCCTACAATCTCGACATTCGGCCATTCCAACACGAACCTTTCTTCATCTCGGAACACAAATTTGTTGGCCGCCGGTGAAAATACGATTATCGACGGTCTACCGAATAGATGCGTCCTATACATTCCAATCCCATCATCATGCCTATATAATCAATTAAAACAACAATGAAAAAAGGAATTTAAATAAAAGATATTGACCAAATTAAAAAAAAAAGTACGATTCGAAGTATATAACAAATAATTACTTGTGGCGTTTGGAATTGATGTAATCATCGGGACGGCGGAGAAATTTGAAGTACCATAGAAACGTGAACATTTCACCGATGATCGGAAGACCCATGTGGCCAGGAGGCAGCTTGGTGCCGCCTTTGGATGACCGGAAAGTTGCCGTGAGTATTCCGTACCATATATCATTCCACCACCACAACAACCATATTACTAGCGGCACCACCGTCAACCACATTGTGCCCGAAATACCCAGTTTTCTAGTAGTGTTAATTTTAATTATATATCTAATATCTGCTTAATTTGGTTTGTGAAACTTGTGGGATGCGACTCCACGTATTTGTAGAGTTGTAGTAAAGATGCGATGCGATTAGTTTTCTTATTCCATCAGCAATAGTGGACAAGTTTTTACATTATATTTGTTCATAATTAATGCCAAAGTGGTCACAAACTGAATAAATTAATTCGTTATTATTTTATTATGAGTTGAATCACTGATTGTCAAACATGTTTATCGAATTACATGGATAATATACAAAAAGATGGACAAATCGATGTTGTTTTGACATTTTCCAACAATGGGACAAGCTTCTTGCCGTTGTTAATAGTAACTGTACATTTTAAAAATACTGAAGGGTAGCTGCTTAACAGTGGTGGATCCTAGGATCAAAGGAATGACAACAATGATCATTTCATCCTTAATTTCAAGTGGCGTATGGTGCTTGATGAGTTGATTGATGATGGAACCAGAGTTTCCATGTTCTTTGAGGGGGTGATGAAAAATAGGTGGTCAAACCTATGCTTTTCGTTTAACTCCTTACTTGCTTTGTTTGAATTAATATGTCCTATTCGGTTGTCAACTATAGCGTCCATAAAATAATTATTATATTTATTAACTTATGTGTTTGATATTTAACAATATTATTTTTAATTTTAAGAGGGTGTTTGTTTCACATAATGAAATTTGTTGGAATTGGAATCCATCAAAGGAATTTGACTTTGAAGGAATTAGAATGAAATATCTCAATAGAAGTGGAACAATCGTCTTTGTTTGGACTATCTCACCCATCGCCCCACCTATACCCTACCAACCACCATGTCACTACTATCGTCATCACAACTATCACCCTACCCCACCCATACCCAGACCTTGCCCCACTACCCAACCCTTCCCACCACTCCTGTCCCACCTCTGCTCCATAGATGGGGGTTATTAGGGGAAGGCAGGGTGGGGTGAGGCGGCCGGGGGGGAGGGGGAGTGGGACAGCGGGTGGCAGCTGTGATGACTACAGTGGTAGGATGGTGGTTAGTGGTGGGTTGGAGTAGGGTATGGTGAAGTGGGGTGGGACGGTAGGGTTGGTAGGGGTAGGTGGCGGGGTGGTAACTATGACGATTAGAGTGATGGGATAGTGGTTGGGCGGCTGGTTCTGGAAGTGGGTGGGTATGACGACAACAATAGTGACATGGTGTTTAGTGGTGGGTCGGGGTAGGATGGGGGGTTAGCTTAGGGGCGGGGGTCGGTGGCTAGGCAGGGACGGGCGGTGGGAATAGGTCATAGCTGTGACGACGATAGTGGTAGGATGGTGGTCAGGTGACTGAGAGTGGGTGGTTATGACAGTGACAATAATGGCATAGTGGTTAGTGACTTAGTGGTGGGTTAGGGTATGGGGTGGGGGTGAGTGGCAGTTGTGACACCGACAATAATGGTGTGGTGGTGGGGGTTAGATTAATGGGCGTGATAGTGTCAGTAGTAACATGGTCATAGTAGGGATGTGCAGTGAGTGACCGAAGGGGAGTGGGTGTGATGACAACAATAATGACATGGTGGTTAGTGGTGCGGTAAGGTATGGTAGGGTGGGTGGGTAGGGGTGGGTGGCAGCGATAGTAGTGGTGTGGTGGTGGGGGGAGGGGGTAAGATGTGGGACATGATGAACAATAGTAGCATGGTCGTTGTGGGTGGTGATGAAATTCAATTTTCATTATGCCAAGTAATGATGAATTCATTAATTTGTAGAATTCAATAGAATTTGAAGGATTCCATCTATTTCAAGAAATGAACCAAATAAGGGAATTGGAATTTGGTTAAAGGAATTGTCATTCCAAATTCATGAAATTCCCTTGAATTCCGCGAACTAAACGGCTCCTAAATGGTTTTTGTAACCATTAATCCATTACTCGCTATTTTAATGGTTAGGGTATGGACATGGATAAATATTTTAGTGGTTAGGGTATAGACATGAATAAGTACCCGTTTTGTTACCTGCTATTTTGACGAATGGGGTATAAACATGGATAAGTACATATTTCGTTATAGATAATTATCTATTTTGTTACTCACTTCATTACCCGCTATTTTTATCAGTGGGGTATAGACATGGATAATTACCCGTTATGCTCCTTCCGTTCCAAAATAAGAGTCCATGATTGAAATGACTCACACTTTTAGACAAACATAATTAATGTATTTTTTTCTGTTAACCAAATAACATGTTTATCATTATTTAATTTCTCCTTTCATAACTCTTTAATATTTGTACATTAATTAAGGGTAAATTTAAGAATTTGGTTATTTACTTTTGAAATTAGACATCTATTTTAAAACAAATAGAAATAAAAATGTAGACACTTATTTTAGGACGAAGGAGTATTAAATTTGTTTATCGTCCATCATTTTTGTGAAATTAACATTTAAATTAAAAATCAAATTGTAGCATCTTCATTTAGAAAAAGAACCAAATTACAATTCATAGTTCTTGAATGACGATCTCGACACCATCTTCTGGTTTGGGATGCGAGAGATACTTGATTTTTGCATCTGGATTCACCAATTCCCACCTGAAATCCATTTCAAAATATAACCAATAAAATATAAATCATAGTATTGACTCCCATCGATAAACGCTTACCGGGTAAGCAATTGGGTAAACGGCCCCTTGGGCAAGCAATTGGGTACATAATATTTGAATGATTGATTACATACTTGTATTCCGTCGACAAATGATGGAGAAAAACAGCAAGTTGAACACGAGCCAGCATATTTCCTACACACGTTCTTGATCCACCACCAAACACTCGGTACGTTTCAGACGCCGATATCGGTGCCTTACGACAAAAATTAATTAGATTTACAACCAAGAAAACCAACATATTGTATTCTCATCAACGCACTTACATCCCATCTGTCAGGGTTAAAACTCAGTGGATCGTCAAAGTTGTCTGGATTCGTATGAAGATACCTAATCCATAGCATTACTTTCCATCCTTTCGGTATAATATATCCTACACAACAAACATTGAACAATCTTTTAGCAGCAAAAATAAAACGAGCAAACACGATAAATCGTCATGCACCTTCGTATTGAACGTCTTTCGTTGTTGTGCGGAAGACAATGGCTGCAACATTCGCCAATCTGATCGTTTCATCGACAACCTTCATGGTGTATTTCATCTTTAACATCTCGTCGCTTGTAACAAATTCTTCGTTCTTGCTCTTTTTCAGAGACACGTTTTCGTCCTATATCAATACAGATCATTATATGAGATCGAACGACATTAATAACGAAAGCATGAACAAGTTAAACTAAGGGTAGGTCAAGTCGTACCCGAAGCTTTTGTAGAACCTTCGGATATTTCGCAAGGAAGTAGATAACCCACATGGTGGAGAGCGTGGTCGTTTCATAGCCAGCTGCGAGAATGTTAACGATGTTGTCAAGAATCTCGTTATCGCTTAATTGCCCCCCTTCTTCGTCCTTCAACTTCATCAAGCCGTCCATTAGATCGTTTATGGGTCGAGTACTTCGATCCTCATCATTGTTCCTTTTCTCCAACTCTTTCTTGAAAATCGCAACTGCTTTTTTCCGACACTAAAGTTTCACGTAAGCTATTGTGAGAATATGTGAAACCCCAAATTTATAATCATCCTTTAAAAGACACAGAAAACTCGAATATATATGTAACAAAAAGGTTCAAATCTAACTGATATGAAACCCTAACGGCATTTTCATATGAACAAGAACAAATTAAGACCTGAAGGGCATGATGATAAGCAAATCCCGGTATATTCAACCGGTAAGATCTAACTCCGGCGAGCAATCGGTGGAAGTATTCATCAAGTTTATCGATGGTCGGACCTGGCTCGAAGCTAGCAAAATACATACCCATGTTTTCGAGTGTAACCTTCTTGATTTCTTTGTAGGAATTAATCGTCCGACGTTCAGCCCAAGATTTAAGGGCTGAGATGATTCGTGGTTGCACGAAGATAGTAATCCGGCGAAGAGCATCTGGCTGGTTAAGACTTCTAGAAACCAAGCTTCTGATCCTAGTATGTGCTTTTCCATGAACAGCAGATAGTGAATTCTTGCCGATAAGCTCCACATTTGGCCATTCCAGTATGAAGCTTTCTTCATGCCGGAATACAAATTTATTGGCCGCCGGCGAATAAACGATTACCGACGGATAACCAAACAGGTGTGTCCTATACATTCCTATTCCATCGCCATGCCTATATCATCAATTAAAACAACGATAAAGAAAAGGGATTTGAATAAAAAGAGTAGAATTATGTAACAAATGAATGATTACTTGTTACGTTTGGAGTTGATGTAATCGTCGGGACGGCGGAGGAATTTGAAGTACCATAGAAATGTGAACATTTCGCCGATGATCGGAAGGCCCATGTGGCCAGGAGGAAGTTTGGCGACGGCATAGGATGACCGGAAACTTGCCGTAAGCCGATACCATATATCATTCCACCACCACAAGAGTGGCAGAAGACCTAACGCCACCGACAACCATATCGCCACCGTCATAATTAGGTGGTTGTTTAGTTAGTGATGGAGTGCTTATTATCCAGGAAAGATGCCATTACATAATCCATAGATTCCAACACTAGTAGACAAGCTTATAGGATACAAGTATTTTTTTAAGTCGATAATAATAGACTTTGGAAAGAGAAATTATTCGAGTGATTAAATAATTCAGATTTTTAAAATGAATTTAGTTTGAGTTGTCATGGAGAACAAAAAGCATCTTCTACTAGATTTTATTTTATTTATATCAGTTGTAACACCTGCAATTCTTCCCCATTTTCTGCTACCGTTCGTATTAAGAGTTTTCGTCTCGTCTGTAAGGTACACGTTTTCATGTATAATAGGAACTTAGAGCATATTACTTTATTGGGTCTTTCAAAAGAAAATATATATGTGTACATATATTGTGGGTGAGGGGTGTAAGAAGGGGGTGGTCAGCTACTACCTTTTATTTTAGCCTTGGGAATGATCTCTCCTCTTGTTTTTGGGTCCTTACCTTTTAATTATTTTTATGGTAGGAATATGGTGAAGTGAGTAGGGGAGGGTTTTACCTGATAAATAAAGGAAGGGAGAGGGTTGCTACACATCAGAAAAGAATAAAATAAAAAAAAGAGAAGAGAAGGGGAATGGAGAAGGGCCAAAGAAACAGCAGTAGCCGCTATTTGAGTAAAGAAAAGGAAGGAAATCGGTGGTTCCAAATCAAAGTGTAACGTTCGTAAGAACCAGCAGCTGCCGGTACGACCTTTTAGCGCCGGCCAAGCCTGCACGATCCTCTAACCGTGACTGCCTGCACGCCCTCCAGCCCGCGACTGCTGTGTTTACCTCCAGCCTCGCCACCCTGCCCCTTGGCTCCTCTGCGTCGCGGATCGCATAAACAGCAGCTGTATATCGAGCTGTCTCGGACCACACCAAACAGCAGCTGTATCGAGCCGATGTGCTGTATCTTGGACATCACCAAACAGCAGTTGTATCGAGCCGCTGTGCTGCACCTCGGACTGAACCAAACAGCAGCTGTTTCACGCTGTTGTGCCGTACCCTGCGCCGAAGTGATGCTCTGTAACGTTGATATGTTAATTCAAAATTACCAAAATTATAAATTTTCTAATTTATCTATTGATTTGTGGTTGAGATTAGACCTCACAGTTACCACAAACTAACTAGTTTTCATTTAATTAGGCTCATATATATATATATATAGGGTTGGGTTCATGTGAGACCAGCCTGTTTTCGTGAGACCCGTGAGACTTGAAACTTCACAGCAAAAACACTGTGAAGGTTAAAAAAAGTCGAACCTTCATAGCAAAAACACTGTGAAGGTTAAAAAAAGTCACCTTCACATTTTGCTGTGAAGTTTCAAGTGTAAAAAAATGGTCTCACGGGTCTCACGAAAACAGTCTGGTCTCACATGATCTCAAGTCTATATATATATATATATATAATATATATATATATATATATATATGGCTTATTTTGATATTGATTTCAGCTGGAATTTGGTATCAGGTTTTAGTATTGATTTTAAATTTGAAGTCTAGATTCGGATTATGGTTTGATTTTAATGTTGTTTTGTGGATTGGGATTTGGGTGGAGTTTGGCGGATTTTGACCTAAGAAGATGTTTTTTAAGCGTCTGTTATAGGAAGGGATCAAATCCAAACATTTTTACAAACTATGAGGGTCATCTTGTAAATTTAAAATTATAGGGAGCAAAAGAGTTAGAAACAACAAACTACATCGACCAAATTTGTAGTTTACTCTTATATTTAATTTTAACACCAACTTTATTTTAAAAATTACAATATTAATTATAAAATAAAATCTTCACTAAGGAACCATTTACCAAATTCTTACCCGGTAAGTGCTTATCAATAAAAATTTAACACTATTATTTACTTACTGGGTAAGATTTTAGTCTACCAAAACGATATCGCATGAAACAATTTACCCGATAAGTGTTTACCGTGGTAAGAGTCGTCCTTACTTACCGGGTAATACTCTTGATCTTTGTCTCGCTCTTTCCGAATAAGATTCTTTGTTCTTAGCATATTCATCTGGTGAGGTAACATGACTTGGTAAGCGCTTACTCAAATAAACATTTGGTAAACGGCCTCTAAATATAATATCTTAATAAAATTTTAAATATATCATATAAAATATATAATAATATAACTAACTTTATAAAAAAAAATTATCTCACTTATGAGTATCGAATAAGCTTTAATTACAAAAGCAATATGTCACACTAAAAAATATTGATAATATAATTTAATATTTTTAAAACCTCTCTTACAAAAATGAATTTTTATACATATAAAGAGAGCAATAATTAAATGAAAACAACCAAAAGATTGAGAATCATGAGAAGTGGTGGCCTCTGAAAACTGTCTATTTAATTGTTTATTTTAAGGAAAAAATTTTATGAAATTGTTTTAAATAATTCATTTAATGATGAAAATGTTTCATGTATTTTTGTGTCTGTGTAAAAGTTAAATATTTCATGTATTTCTTATTTTGATGAAATTTATTTACTAAAATTAATAGAATGAAAATGATAATGTCCATAATTATTTGAAACAATTTCATGATATTTTTTCATTAAAATAAATAATGAAATCGACGGTTTTCACGGTTTGTACAAATGGTTTGGTTTGCAAAATATCTCTCCCATATATATACTTGGGATCATGTGAGACCAATGATTTTTCGTGAGACCTGTAAGACCAATTCTCAATAATTACAAAATTGTCACCTTGCAACTTTAGACCAGTAGATCATTAGTTTATAAAGTTGATCAATGAACATAAATTGGTCTTACGGGTCTCACGAAAAACCATTGTTCTCACGTGAACCCAACCCTATATAAAAGAGAGAGAGAGAGAGAGTCAAATGAAAACCGATTTTCAGTTGTGAATCGGGGGGACAAAGGAGAGTGTAACACATGTCCCCGACGTCCATGTTCAATATGAATAACAAAAGGCATTAAATACGAATAACGAAGGTAAAACTCATGAACTAAATACATACGATATGAATAACAAAGTTGAAGTCCATAAACTACTTATAACGAATATAACAACATTCACGATGAATGATCTACGATCATGATCCATGTTAAACTTTTTGCATCACATATTCTTTTGTACCACAAGAATCGATGATTTAAACATTTTGCATCACATCGAGGGTGAAGTTATTGTTGGGCGTATGTTTAATTTACTTATTCAAATTCAACCACGTTCCCCCCCCCTACTTAAAGTGTAGAAGTTGAATAATAGTTACAACCAATCCCTGTATATATATGACTTGACTTATCACTATTACAATTAATATTATGATCTAAGACAGTTATAACTTATTATTTGCTGGTCTCGACAGCCGTCAGTCATAAAAAACTTATGCATCGGGGATGCTCAACTTATTAATTAGATGACTTTTTACCATTTAAAAGTGGGAAAATTGCATAAAAACAGAACCGACTTTGTCCCGATTTCTATTTTGGATAACCAACTTTTAAAATCACCATTTAAGGATATAAAGAAAAGTTTATGTTTATTCGAGGGTCTCGTTGACCGGTTGAGTAGGCAACCGATCACCTTAATACGACGTGGCAGATCCTGAATTAAGAAAATATTATAACCGACAATTATCAAAACTGATAGTGATTCATTAGTAAAACATGAATTCATTGATAAGATTAATGATGACCTATAAAAAAGCCAGCTAAAAGAATAAAAAGTGAAAATTTTGAAAACTTTCGGTGAACAATGGTAATCATTGAAAGATATATAATTTTAATTTTTAAATATATCTTTTTTAAGTAGGTTATATTTTTAACTAACTTATCAACCAATAAGATTGATAAAAATCGTAGAGTGATTTATTATCATGTGGTTATCACTCGGTATTAATTTTAGTCACTCTTTTAAACTAATTATAGTTTTGATCATTGTGGTTGTCAATTTGTTTTACTTTTAGTTCCTATAAATAATTCTGTGAAAAAGTCCTTTAACTTAAAGGATATTTTAGTCTTTTTATTATTTCCTTATTTTTTAAATAAAAATTAGATAAATATGTTAGTAAAACGGCGCCGATTCAACAACCCTAGAATCCAACCTCCATCCCTCAAGAAACAGGTGCCGATTCCAGCCTCCAACCGTTTCTTCGGCGATCTCGTCGGCCACTGATCTATCTCTCTCTCTCTCTCTCTCTCTCTCTCTCTCTCTTATCTCATCTCTTCCCCCTCAAGAAACAGGCGCCTAAGGCTAGCTAGTTGCCCCACCTCCTAATAAATCTTGCCTTCCTCTGCTGCCCCGGGAGAGTGAGTTTGTATGCGTAGTTAACACAACAATGACTTACACCATATACTCAGTGCCCCTAATACGTCGACCTTTAGTTAGAAAGAGTCGGGTGACCCCCTATCAATCTGCTTTCGCCCTAACCAGGGGTATGTTGGGATTCGCGAAGAGCAGCACCTTACGATGTTCATGACCAATCGGATCCTGACGTACCAGTAGGTACCAGCCGTATGCACTTCCGACTGACACAGTCGACARCTTGAGGAATAAATGTGCTTTAATACTTTCCGAGTTTTGCAAGAATAATAATCGTGAACAAGTGAGAAAGCCAGGAAAAGACCCAACATGCATACAAACCTGCATCCAGAGGGGAGTACGTTCGATGGAATAATTTCTTAAATGTATTACCACATCCCCAAGGGTTAGGCCCACTTTTTACAGGTCAGTAGAATATTTATGCTCAAAATCCCGATTCAAGTAGTCATTTATTTGGTACCTCCCAAGGAGTTGTTTTCTTACTCTATCCGGCTATTGAACCTGGTTTCCCTCCGCATATGGTAATAGAGAGTTAGACAGCTTAGAGAGCTCCTCAAAGACTGAACTTGTTGGTCATAATTTGTCTTTAAACCCATTACCCTAACCAAGCCTTATTTCTGACTTCTATTAGTAGGGAATGACGATCGCACCCACGTTCATCTCATGCATCTAGGGAAGGAAGCAAAGTTGTTTAAGTAAGAGTTAGTGCCTATGGAAAAGAGATTTGAATCGCTTTGTGGCAGGATAAGTTGTGATCTTACGGAGGAGGAAGGGTGGGCAGCAGGTACCACGAGCCCTCTGTCCCACACATCTAAAGAGGGGCGCTGAAATCCTTTCTATGGGCTCGTGCGTGGCAGCTGGTTATGTATATATATATATATATATATATATATATAATGTATTTTGTAAGAGTAAAACCATGTCCAATAGTGCCATTACCCCTCAGTAATTATCCCTCTAGCATATGAACTAGAGACAGACGTAAGTTATAATTCTGCGAGAAAGAAATACAGTGTATTTCATTCTCTAAGTAGCACCACAAAACCATAGTAGTGCACTAAGGGGTGCTTTCACTATCCTGCCTTGCATTCCAACTTTGTGAAGCACAGATAAAAGAACCGATTCAGTTTCAGCCCCTAAGGGTATGAGTGAACTCAGGTTTACCTCATGAAAGCAAGGAGTGGCTACTAGATAGACAATTAGTTCTGAGACTAAGAGATTGGACAGAGGTTATCAAGAGTTAGCTTGGGAACATGCCATGCCCTTAGCCTTAGTTGGAAGCTAAGCCAAAGCTAAGCTTGTAGGCTTGTAGGCTTGTAGAGAAAGCTATTGTTGCTCACCCCTATCTCTAAAGGGGCGCACACTCGTTACCACTAAACGACGAAGCCGGGAGCGGAAGGAGGGACTTGAACCCTCAACCGCTCAGGTCTACATCTCCAAAAAAATTGGGTGTTTTCGATTTCCATATTTGTGTTTGTCAGTTTTTATTTTTGATTTTCAGATTTGAAGCTTTTCGATTTATACCTTTTCGTTTATCATATTTGTAGGGTTTTATTTTTGTGATTTCTAGATTTGGTTTGTTTTCTATTTTCAAATTTGAAGCTTGATTTCAAGAACCCTCTTAGCATCCATGGGGTTAAAGGTATCATTTGGTTGCATCACACAATTAAACTCCAAGAACTCAAGCGATCGTTTGGATTTGTTTCATATGGCACCCACCACCTCGACAATCGTTTGGGTTTGTTTTCTTTTGCACCATCCACACAAACAGATCATCATCTATTTTCTATTTGAATTTGGTTTGTTTTGATTTTGATTTGAATTTGGTTTATTTATGACTTAGGTTTGTTTATTTAAGGGATTTTTGGAGTTCTGATCATTGTGGGTTTCTTGTAGAGGTTCTTGGACACAACATTAGTGTTGCAGATCAATGACAGGTTTGGGTTTCTGGTTTATAAACACACACACACATATACATAATTAATACATTATTTCAAAAAAAATATAACATATAGATATACGTTTCTTTTTAAATTAAAATTAAAATAAACAAGATAGAGTATAAAGACCAAAATACCCTTCGATCTTTAATTAGGTATGTAATATTATGGATCTGAATATTACAGAAGTAATAAGATTTAAGTGGTCAATTCAGAAGAAAAATGATTGTTAGACGAAATTTGGATGAGAAAAATGATTAGATGACCAAATTTAAACGAGTGAAATGCTAATTTAACTCAAAAATTTTACAATAGAATGTAGGGGTAAAATAGTAAACTGAACCTTGTTATTTATGTAAGGGATAGATAGGCCTATCGGCATTTGATTGGCTGACAATTTGGAGCTCAACACGGACTAACGAGAGCCAACAACACCTTCAGCGGAGGCCGCCTTCTCCGGAAAACTTGAAAAATATGGCGGTGGTAAGAGCACCTCCGACTACTACTGCTTTTCTAAACACCGTTGACCGTCGTCTCACTCCTGCCAACTGTCCGCCGCTCCGTCGTCTCACTCCCGCCAGAAATTCCTCCAGGATTTTAGCTATGGCTCCCAAAAAGAAGGTAGAATACGAACACAATGGCTCCTAAAATAAATTTAGATTTCAATTTAGTTTCGGATGTGAGAAGTAAAATATCAACTTCGTCTCAATCATCATGATTTTTTTTTGAATTCTCATATCGTGCAGTAGCATCGTAGCATCCAATCGCATACTTCTAGATTCGGATTTTGTTGTCCTTCGATTTAGAAGTTAAACATGAATGCAGGTGAACAAGTACGACAGTGGCTGGAAAAAGGAGTGGTTTGGGGCTGGGCTGTTCTTCGAAGGAAGTGAAGTAGTAGAAGTAGACGTATTCAAAAAGCTAGAGAAGCGTAAAGTTTTGAGCAACGTGGAGAAGGCAGGGCTGTTGTCGAAAGCTGAAGAGCTAGGGTTTACTCTCTCATCGATCGAGAAATTGGGGATTCTGTCAAAAGCCGAGGAATTAGGGCTTCTCAGCTTGCTTGAAACGGCAGCCGGATTCTCTCCTGCAGCTTTGGCATCGGCTTCGCTGCCAGTGTTGGTGGCAGCCATTCTAGCAGTTGTACTAATACCAGATGATTCCACCGCTCTCGTGGTGTCGCAGACCGTCCTAGCAGGTACGCTTGCCGCCACCGCAACCGGATTGTTTGTTGGTTCGATTGTGTTGGAGGGATTACAAGAAGCTGATTAGAGCTGTTCTTCCTTTGTATCATTTATCAATGAAGTTTTGTATTGTGAATACTCCAAGTTTGTTCTAATTCAAATTTGTTGCTAAGGTATGTGATTATACACATTGTAACTTTCAATTATGTGGAGGGATTTTATAAGGAATGTTAAACAACTTTTCTTTTTACTTGAGTTCAATATCATGGATTATTGTTCTATGTACTACATAACGAATTTGTACAATTGAATATAAAGTTGTGATCAACTTAGCAGTAAAGAGCTCTTGTTTAGCTAGAGTCGGGAGCGGGGTGGGTAACCTCAATCGATGTTGGCGCCTGCAGTAGCGCCTCTAGAGCCGCCCCCTTCTAGAGACTGAACTACCACTGGACTCTAGTACATGGTTGTTATCAAATCATGCCGTAAGGTATTAGGTTAAGTCCCGCCACTCCCTCGCCAAGGCCATTCATATTCTCTTTCTAGTTTCTAATATGGTTCCTTTTTATTTTTAGGCTTGACTTATGTTTTAGGGTCGTTTACCAAACGTTTACTTAGGTAAGTATTTACCGGTAAAATTCAACATTATCACCTACTTACTGGATAAGATTTTTGGTCCTTGTCATATTCATCCGCTAAAGTAACATGACTTGATAAGCAGTTAGGTAATCATTTGGTAAAAGGCGTGATTGTCATTGGTCCTTTCAAGCAACCAACAAATTCAAAAGGGTTTTGGACTCTTAAATCTATTCAGCCGATCTTAGGTATATCAAATTATAGTTTGTTGATTGCTTGAAACAAACCACAACAATCAATGTTTACATTGAAAATCTAGCCTATGATTTTTATTTTTATTTTGTGTTTAGGAATAATGATCGATTCGATGTTAACGGGTTCGTGAACGTAAAATTTCCATGAATAATAAAGTGATAGAAGGACAAAATGGTAAATTATATTACGATCGTGGATTTATCATGATGCAATAAACACTCAATTACGTAATTAAAATATCTGATTACACTGATTTTTTTTTCTAAAATTTACTTATTTGACTTGTTAACAATGAGTCATATTTTTTTTAGAAACAACAGATTTTATTAAAAAACCACCGAAGGCTAGCAAGATGCTAGCACTTACAACAAAGCCGCTAAAGGGCTGATACACCAAGCATTCCAATCAAGAGTATTACAAGACTTTGATCTAATTCTAATCCAATTATACGAAAAGAGCACGATCTCCTTGAAAATCACCACCGGACTTTTTATGGGTTTGTTGAAAACTAGCGCATTGCGATTCGTTCATATCACCCAAATGAACGCCATGAAAATTACTTCCAACGCCTCCTTAACTCTCTTCCCTTTGAAAGGAAATTGCGCTGCAGAAAAAAAATCCGCCAAGTTGGTAGCTTGATAAGGAAAACCCGACCACCAATTCTTTACATAAGCACCGATCTCCTTTGTAGACGAACATCCAAACAAGAGATGAACTTCCGTTTCTGGCTGACTTAGGCAACAAGGACAAAGAACCGAGCTCACCCGGACACCTCTTAAGGAGAGATTACATCTAGTGGGGAGTCTAGATTTTGAAAGACGCCAGATAAGCATATTCACTTTACCGGGCACTAATTTATTCCACTTCGTTATCCTTCCATCGGATTGTAAAACACCTTCCTCGATCTTACCCCGACACGTCTTGACTGAGAATACTCCGTCCTTGGATAGAATCCATCTTCGAACGCCATTGGTATCAACCGACCAAAAGTTGTTAACATGCAGTCCAACTTTACGGATGAGAGTATCCCATTTAGCAATAGCTCCCCATACACCCGGCTTCTTACAACCGTCACTAAAAATACCCCCTCTATCACCATGAAACGCCTTAATACTATCTCTCCAGATACTGCCTTCTTCGTTTAGAAACCTCGACCACCACTTAGCTAGGAGACTCCAATTAAGCGCCTTCAAACTACCGATGCCAATACCACCTTTATCCATATTGTTACAAGTAACTTTCCACTTAACCCAGATAATTTTCTTACTTTGTCCAAATCGGCCCCAAATGAATTGGTTCCTAAGACTTTCAAGGGTGTTAAGCACATTTTTCGAGACTTTAAACAGATAGAAAAGATAAACTCCCAAACTACCAAGAACTGATTTACACAGTATCTTCCTACCACCAAACGATAAAGACTTGGCCTTCCAAGCGCAGAGTTTCTCTTGGAATTTATCTACTAACTTATTCCAACTACTTCTCCTTCCCATCTGCGCACCTACCGGAAGACCCAAGTATTGGAACGGAATAGAAGAAAGCTTACAATTCATTCTTCGAGCGAGCAGCTCAGCTTCACAGGTGCCCGACCCAACGCCATACAAACAACTTTACTGCAAGTTGATTTTCAACCCCGACTAAAGATAAAAACATTTGAGCAAACGGATCAAATTTAGATCATTCGTTAACGACCAGTCACCCATAAATAGAGCATCGTTGGCATATTGGAGAATCTCTATTCTAAGGCCACCTCTGGGAAGAGACAGCTCGTTAAATACCCCTTTAATACGAGATTCATACATAACCACCCTAAGGGCCTCCATAGCTATAATGAAAAGAAAAGGGGCAAGAGGGTCACCTTGTCGCACACCATTTTCCATGATGAGCTCCTTAGTTGGGCTTCCATTCACAAGAATAGAGACACTTGCATTAGAAAGAATTCCTCGAGTCCACTTTCTCCAGGTATTACCGAATCCCATTCGACACATAACCTCGTCCAAAAAGTCCCAATTCAAGTTATCAAAAGCCTTCTCAAAATCAGCTTTAAAAATTAACACTTTACGTTTTGCCTTCCTAGCCCAAAAGATAGTCATATTATCAATTAGGGGGCCATCCAGAATGCATCGGAGTAAATTGTTGCTTTTTTTGGATCTCATTTAATTTATTTTTAATCTAAAAAAGATAACCCGAGGTTAAGGTGGGGATTTGGGTTCTTATGTGATAAATGAAGTTCAGGGAGCAACTTTGTAATTTTCTCTAAACCATTGGGACCAAATCTGTAATTCGCTTAAAGTTATCGAGTAAAAAGGTGAGAAAATGAAACTGGAGATGCGGGGTATCGATCCCCGTACCTCTCGCATGCTAAGCGAGCGCTCTACCATCTGAGCTACATCCCCGAGTGATATTAGTTTTACTTATCAAATACAAAACTTCATAGGAATCGAATTCTCACCTTCGATTATTTGTAATTCAACGAGCTCGCTCAAAATTTACTCGATCTTCGTCCAATGCATCTGTTTTGAGTTCTCTGATCTAGATTAGAACCTCCGGTGTACGCATTCTACTGATGATCAGTTGAATTTGTTTTTGTAAAAGATTGCTTCCTTATTTTATGTCAAAATCATCAGGATTTGACGATTGATGATGATGATTCTTTGGACTTCCTATGAGTATTGGACCATTTTGTGAGCTCTCGTTATCTCCCGGGCATTAGTCACTCAATAGTGTAAGCTGTCATTGATTTATTTGTACGGTGGTTTGGCGGAATGCTTTTTTTGCTTTTTGGAACAAGATTATCTTCTGAATTATCCTTTTCCCAAATGGAAATTCAAATGCATATTGAACTGTTGAAGATACTCACTTCAGAGATGATCATGCTTCAAGTGCTATCACTTCATATTACCCACCATTTTAGAGTCACACATTTGATTTGATTAGACATGATAGTGGTTCTAGCTTGTTCAATTTGCTTGTTTTTTTCTTGTTTTATGCCCACTATGTGTTTGCTTGGTTCTTCTCGTGGGAAACGTTTTATATTTTGCATTTTTTGCAAATTGAGCAAACTGAACGCAAAAGAAAAGGGTTGAGAAGAGATTAAAGGTGGGAAAGGGCCAGGGAAACCACTGTTATGCAGGAATACCTTTTGATTCATTTAGCAACCTAATGTGATTTGAATGCACACAAATTATACATAAATAATCCTTGTGTATTTGGAATTAATTGATAATAAGGAATATGCAATAATTATTAATCATCATCAGGCTTGGTTCTATTCTAAGAGTACAAAGGAACATACATGGCCATATATGGCTGAATAGTGATTAGTAAGTCTCATAAACTCACAGACATATAGGTAACTGCCTATAGAATAGATGCTATGGTTTAGAATATCAGACTCCTGATGACTTGCACAGCATTTGGATCTCATTTGAACCGTTGGTGCATTTTGATCCATACTTATAGCTTTTGGCCCACAGGAGATATACAAGGAAGTTCAGGCCACTTAATACGCACATTAACCAATAAAATCGTTCCAGATGATAATGATTTAAATTGCTGCCGATGAGCCATGGCTTGTGACTGAAGGTGCCTGTAACATGGTTCACTATAGAAACGAGTACTGAACTAAGATAGTAACCCATGGCTAATGAGGCCCAAGAGAGAGATGTTGCCAAAGATCTCATGCTAAATGGGGCCTCTGTAAAGAAGAAGTCCATCATTCCAGCCAAGCTGAAAAGATCAGCTGATCCAAGGAACAAGTATTGCAAAGAAACCCAAAGGAAAGTGATTGGCAGAGGTTCTTTGGAGTTCATTAGAGCATCCTGATATGCCACTCTTTTCCGTTTCTTTTCCACTAGAGCTGCAACTGCCATGGCCATGATGGAAAGAAATAACCCAATCCCTATTCGTTGTAAATGAGTTATGCCCATTTCCGTTTTAGTTATCCTCCTTGCAAACGGGATGATAACATGGTTATACATTGGTGCTAGTACCATAATGAAGAGGACAGGAAATACAGGAAGAGAAGCTGGTGGGACACGTAAAGAGCCAATCGTAGTGTTCATTGTAGCTGATTGTTGGACAGAAAAGGTAGAGAGTTGAGCAAGGCAGCAGTTGAGCATTATGGTTGATATGAACACAGGGAAAATCTTAAGGACGATTTTAACCTCTTCTACCTGTTTAATGGTGACCTCAAAGGTTGGGAAAGTAGACCTTTTGATAAGTGCCTTATTAAGGAATCTGAGATCTTCTGTTATGTTCCCAACCGTTACTTCCTCTTTCGCTTTACCATCTTCTTCCTTGTTTTCCCTTAAATTCGATGTGGGGGATGGGTGCGTGCTAACTACAGCATTTGTGGCGTTCCTGGAAAAGCAACTATTAAGAATTGCTGCAACAAGTACCTGGTGTAAACAAACTTAGCACTTCAGTTTTGTTGTTAATCCACCTGGTTCCAAGTAGCAAAGGTATAGCTAGACTAAGGTGCTACCTTACATATGGTTGTAATAGGACTTCCTGTTGGGAGTTTGATCCTGTAGACCGTGGAACCAAGTAAGAACATGGGGATGGAGATCAGAATTGCCAAGCTGGAGATACCAAAACCCCACTGCCATCCAATGTTGTCCTCAATCCACACAGCAAACGTCACTGCTACGAGTGCACCACAAGCAAGGCAAAATACATAGTAATTGAAAAATGATGATCTTTGCTTTCTTCCATGAATGGTGTCTTCATCAAATTGCTCAGCTCCATGAGGGGGAAGGGAACCTTTTATTCCTCCGACACCCAATGCTACCAGATAGAGGCCTATGAACAAAACTGCTTCTTTGCCACCTTCAGCTTCCTGGCATTTAGCATTCCTGTTGGTTGATGAACAGATTTCTGGTTCCAGGGAACGTGTGTGGGCTTGCACTGTAAGTATTAGAAGCCCCTGTTTCAATAGTCAAAATCAATTTACTGAAATTTAGCTAATAACTTTCTTTAACTTTACAAGGCTTTAAGGAGCCAATAAATAAAAGATGTTAACTTTCAAAAAATTACCTACAGTTAGTTCTTGACTTTCAAAATATTGATAAGCAGATCAGGCAAGGTTTTTGGGGACAACTATTGTGTTATGGATCCTAAATACTATATCTTGACCTTGCATGCATATTACACTAGGATTTGTTATAGAGACCTACTTCTGTTTCCAATTTCCAGCGGTTGGTTTACTGACTTTTACTTTGTTTTATTTGCCCTCATCCCATAGCCTGGCCCCAGATGATCTATTATGAATGATAAAAATTCATGGGCATGATATAAATCATATTTCTTGGGTTACATTGCATGGGTAAGCTGATGCTGAGACCATAAATGTTTAGGCCACGACAAATTTTAATTGGAAGATGCTAGTTGAAGCATAAATATTTCAATGTAATAACTTTTCTCTTTTTCTTAAATTGCATGGACCACACATGTGACAAGTCCATCTCTATCACACTAAAGTAAATAAAACAAAAACAAAACAAAACAAAACATAAAGATGTTATCAGGATTCAAATGGCGGTCATCTTGGTTTAACTCCAAGCACTACTCTCAGTTGCTTCAGTATATTCCTTGAAAAGAAAGCATCAGCATAAAATCTGATTACGATATTGAATCGTATTCAGCCATGATGAGATGTCCTATTCCTACTTCCCTTTTATGCAGGGAATTGAATAAATGGGTGTGTCACAGAACGTATATGGTTATTGAATTCCTAGCTCAATCTTCTCGTTGGTTCCAATAACGATTTAATTTTACTTAACAGAAGTTGTTTCAGTTTTAGTGGCTAGTTAATTATTGCATGTGTCATGTGGGAAGTAAAAATATGTTCAAAGAAACATCATATTTCAAACTCTTACCATAAGTTCAATTGTAGCACTTATCAGATAGATGCAATATGTGGTGAAGAAAGCATCAGCTAAGAAGCCACCAAGGAGAGCAAGGAGGAACGCGGTGCCCATGAAATTACTAACAATGTTGGAAGAGCTGGATGGTGAAAAATGCATGAATTTGGACAAATAGAGCACAAGGTTGCTTGCATTGGCCAGGTATGCTAGATTCTCCAATACCTCCACAACTATATGTTTTACACAAAGACAAAGTCAGATGCACTATTTTAGCCCGTAACCTTTAGAAGAGTTAATCAATATGAAAAGAACTTTTTATCAAATTTGCATCCTAAACCAGGATCTTTGGACCATAAGAATCGCCATATATATCTCTGGGTTTGGGATGGGTAAGAAAACAGTAAGGAAAGAAAAGCTCTATTTAACTAACATAAGACATAAAATGCTGCAAGTATGCCACCATGCTGGCCTTCTATAGCTGGTTTGTTTCTCCAATTGACATATCTGCTGGATTTGCTTATTTGGCATTCTTCATCCTACAAGGGCATCACAAACCAATATAATGATGCAAGAGAAAAAGAAAGTAGAATTCAAGAAAGAAGGTAATCGAAAAGGAGTAACAATATGATGAGTGGTACCATATCTTCTGCAAACTTGATCAGATGATCCTCCTACACCAAATAATAATGTTAAGGTTTTTTATGCAAAGTGGAAATGATGCATGGCATCTCATTTATACGCGGGTTCCAACCCACCTGGAATGGTCTAGAGTCTAGACACTAGACACCTTGAAAATGACTCCACCCGAGCACCTATTCTTCAAAATAGAGATTTTTGGAATATTTTTAACCTATTTTTTTTTCTTATGTATCCTTTAAAACTTTTTCCAAAATGAAGAAAGTAGGAGGGATAGAAGAAAAATCTCCAAATTTGGGTAATTTTCCGGGACTAAATGTTGAAAAAGAGAAAAAAATATTATTGATCCCACCAGTAATTAAATGTATTATCATTTTATATAAAAATTGTGATATTAGATCTATTGAATGTTTTAATAATATAATTTATATCGAAAACTCTAAAATGAAAAATCTGTTGATGAAAGTAAATGTCATTTTAAAGATTTTAACTTTTTTTTCTTCATTTTAGATGAATTAGAATCTGTTGGAAATGTTATAATGCTTTAACCAATTAGTTTGCAGCAGTCGTACCTACCACTATTTTATTGATTATTGTTTTTGAGAAAAAGGGCTTTTCCAAGTACATAAAATTTCAGCTACTTGTGTATTATCTTCTATGATATTCTTAACGGAACCGATGTGCTAGAGATAGTATGAGTGCTGGAAAAAGTGGCCAACATACCTGTTTTGGGCCCAAATATCGTGTGTAATTCAAGTGTATTTGGAAATATGTTTTTGGGTTCATTTCTTCTATGTGAGAGTTTCGTTTTGATATATCACATGTCTAAAACGGAGTTTGGGTGAATGAGAAATTGATTGTTAAAGTCCCCCTTTTGAATGAATGTTTATTATTATTACTTTAGAACAAGGGACATGTATGGATTATTCTTGTACCATTAATGGTTCAATTGAATTTGCACTATATCATGCATGTGATCTCAGGGGCATGTGTTTGATGCTTGGTGGGATGTTACTCATTCATGTGTTTTCTTCCTTACCAGACATAATTTGCTAGGACTATCCCATGAAACTGTGGGGAACATGATTATGAAATCCTCCAAACTGGGTGGACGGCAGAGGCTGACGTTGTATATCTCCCATGTTTTTGCCACTATGTAATGTCTTAGATTTTTCTTTTGGGAAGTTTAGTTCAATAGATTGTGTCTCCATGTAATGTAGATGCAGTTTTGACTGTAATATAACCACTCTGTATGGTTCAATTTAGACCTGATGTAAAGTGAAGCACTTGGAGATGGTATAACTTTTTTGGGTTTCTCATGCAGATCCTGAACAAAGGAAGCTAATTAATCATCAACTGTTGGAATAGCTGATTTAAGTTTAGCAAGATTACCAAGGTTTGTTACTTGCTTTCTGTACGTAATCTCATATCCAATTCCAGTTAAACTAGAATCATTGCAACTTATGGGTACATATATAACATATATGGAATGCTAAACTAAAGTCTAGGTTTTCCATGACGTCACGATAAGTGTATATGACGGAAATCAACCCAGAAATGGATTAATACCTTCGCAGAATGCACCATACCCCCATAAACTACAACTAGAATAATTCGTGGTCTTTTGTAAACACGAACTAGAATCCCAAGTAGTGCACGCTACGTCTTCTAGACCATGACAAAATGTGTGGGTATTTCGCTATATACTTGTTTTCCAATTAGAAAACTCACTTTATCTAAATCCTTGTCACCAGAAAATTCTAGTGTTGCGTATCAAATGTGTCTATCTGGTGTCACTATTGTACCTTCCAAATGTGTTTTTGGACTAGTAGCCTCCTTTTCTTAGCCAACCCCATGGACTTCGTTCCTGGACCATTTCTAGTACTGACATCAATGAAGGGTCATTAGCTATTTGAAACAAATATATGTGGTTTTTATTTTTTTAGGACCACCAATATGTCCTTTTTTTGAAGTATTTACATAATGTAATTATCATATCGTATCATTATAAATATATCATCGTATCTAAGTCATATCACAAACTAATAAGCATATTATACAAGGTATCCTCTCTCACAAAAAAAAAATATTATAGAACGAATGATAATCTTGAGTGTCAGCTCAACGGGAAAATAAAGGCTAGACCTAAGACTCCTCTACTTAGGTTACTGGTTCAAGTCTCATGAGGCCAATAGCTAGAGATTTTCCTTGTTATCTTTAGGCCTTATAGGATTAATGGAGGTGCATGCAAGTTGACCAGAATACTTACGGTTAAAAGGAATTATAAGATGAAGACATGTCCAAATGTTAACTTCAACAAATCTAATTCATTTGATGAGCGCCATAAAAGAATCTTTATCTTCAAAACGTATCCAATTTAGAACGATAACGTCTAATCACAAGCTTACCTCTCTTATCCGCAAAACAACGTGTTTCTTAAACATTCTATTCCGTTCAATCCTCTTTAAGAATTCCTCCCTCTATTACATGCAATTCTATAGATTATTTTAGTTTTATGTTATACATTTATTATATATATATATACATGTTGCTGATTTAATTACATACAAACTTGGTTCATCTGTTTTGTGTTAGGAATTGAGGTATAGACATGAATGATATAGTGGTCATGTGAATTCCTATCTTTAATTCATCCTCAACTTTTGGCTTTTGGAAGTCAAAAATGCCCACTAACAGATTAAGCAATGTCTTCCTGTCATATAGTGGAAGGGGTATCCATAACCGAACTTAAATGACATTTTAGTCATAAATCTGTTACTTTGCTTAATAACCTTTAAAACTAAGTCTTATTGCTGTTAAATAATATAATGCATGCATGTTGTGAAATGTTATTTTCTCATATCCCACATATTCAAATAAATTGCTTAATGAAATCACATAAAACAAACCATTGTTATATATTCGCAAGAAAACAGACTATTTTCAATTTCGAAATGATTGTCACTTGTCATCATGACCTTTTGCGTTTGTATTCAACTCAAAGGTCTTATCTGTTTATCTACTCGAGGATGATTTTTCAGATGGATGATCATGGATCTTTGGAAACTCACTTGTCATGGTCTTATGATTCGTCTAGACACTTGATCGTATTTATTTTAAATATATATGACAGATACTTACATCACATACTCACATTTGGTGAAGTTTGAACCTATAAGAAATAAGTATATGGATATTTTTCACAAAATTAACATTGGTATGGTGGTTTGTTCATTGCTCATCATATGTGAGGTCATGTGTTCAATTCTTTTATTGCAAGTTCTTTTAGAAACATAATAAATCTGAAATTAAAAGTTAAAAACTAAGAAAACGACATCGGATTCGAACTTAGGTTTGGGATGGAAAATTTGTATAGGCTTCAATCGAATTTCTACAAGAATCGGCTTAATCAAATTAGAAGTTCTCAAATTTCCATCATTTTGTTTGTCGTTTATATCATACTACTTCTGATTTTATACAAGAAAGTCTAGTTTTGTTATTTTTATTCAACACTTTTTGTTATTAATGATCCACTATTCTTAACGGATAGAATATTATAGAAAATGTTGTATTTTTTTTTTTTAATAATTGGACGAATGTCAACATCAGTAACATAGAGAAATTGGAATCATTTGCAAGTGGGTGCGATGGACGGTTTTTACAACCTGCAAGTTGAAGCCCGAAATTAATGGGAGACATGTTGTGGGTCAGTTTAACCGACCACATTTAACTGGAGGTTGATTTATCTAAATAATTGAAATCAAGTTATTTATTGTAACGGGCCGTTTAAGTAAACACTTATCCGGTAAGCACTTATCGATAAAATTCAACATTATTGCTTACTTATTGGGTAAGATTTTATTCACTAAAACGCATCGTATGCAACAATTTATCCCAGTAAACGCTAGCCATGGTAAGAGTCATCGTCCTCACTTACCAGGTAAGACTCTCGATTCTTGTCTTCGCTTTTACCGGGTAAGATTTTTATCTTGTATTTTAGGTTTGAAAGAAATTATTAAAACGGTGTCCGAATGGGTAATCGTCAACTATGTTTTTTTTAGTTTTTTCATTTGTTTTTCAGAATCAACTTTTTATAAGCTTTTTTTAATCGGCTTTATTTGGTGAACACAAGTATTTTTTGAGTGTTGTTTGGATGGACATAATGTAACTTATAAGCTAACTTATTGAAATGTTAGTTGTGACAGCGTTTTAGAACCTTTTTGACATTTTTTTTAATTATAACTCTTATTGACATTAATTATTATGTGTTTATATTAATTATAAGTAAATCTATATTATATTATAAAGCATTTGACAAAAATAGTTAAAAATCATTCTTTATACATGAAGTACTGTGTATTAATGCATATTACTTAAAATTTAAGATTACAAGTAAATTGCGCGTAATTACAACTTATTAAAGCTTTATTTTTTAATTCGTATAATTAACTGCAAATAAACATAATTAAATACAAAATAAACCTCTCATTTTAAATATGAAAAATCTAATATAGTTGAGATAACCATTGAGTTCTAACAGAATCATTATCTTTATAAAAAAAATTATCGTTAAGAAAAAAAAAATTACTTCATTTTGACTTTAATTGAAGTATATAACAAAAATTGTACAAAAAAACGAGAACTTTTAAATAGTTAATTTGATATTAATATCGATATACTTTTTCAAACTTTTATGATGCCTTCAAATTTATTTTCATTCAAAAGTAAAAGCATTATCTTTCTCAAAACCACATAAACTGTATTAGATCAACATAGACGAAAAATAAAATGAAACATTAAAATGAAGATGTATCTTACGGCATTATGCAAGTATCCTTCTAGTATTAATAATAATGAACTATTACTAATATTAATTAATAGTAATTAATTATTTTAATCAAAAATATTAATTAATTTCAGTTAATATTAGTTATTTAGAATATTATTAATTACATCAATTGTTTTTATATATTTTTTTTAATTATTATTCAATACTTTTAGTTATTCAAAAATCATATATAACAATTCTAAAAATGTTATGAAAATTAC